CCATCATCCCCCACGTTCGCAGAGTGTCGCGATCCATGGGCTCACCTCCTCCGACACTACCCGAGCTGTTCTCCCTGAAGTTGCGCGTGATGCTCGGGCACGTGCGCATCAAGCACAAGGAATACGGCATTCGAAATCTCGGATGAGGAACGTGGAAGGATGAGGAGGGGGGTGCATAGGGATGGGGACGACAATGCTTGTGATGATGAGACAAAGGAATCGGTCGATTGGCGGAGGTGTAGGGCATACTGAGGACATTGGGAGGAGGAGGATGATGAGGAGGCGGTGGAGGAGGAGGAGGAGAATGAGGAGGAGGAGGAGGAGCATGGTGTGAGGGTGTAGTGGCAATGTGACAATACCGTTTACGGCAACTCGCCCTCCTCACCCTCGGCCTCACGCCCCGAACGTGTGACAGAAAATTCTGTCATATGACTGAATTTTCTGTCACCCATCCCTCTCGCTCGTCTCCTGACATCCTCCGTATCCTCATCCGTCGCATATTCCGCATCGCCCGTGTCGTTGGCCCATCCGTGCAACGAGGAACTCACGACGACGGCTCGCGAGAAGGCCCCACCCGAGATCAAAGAGCTGCTCGATCTTATCACCAGTCGGCCACTAAGCATATCACCCTCGGCATCGCGAACGTCGACCAAACCAAAGCGAATCTCGAACCCGTTCGTCCATCTGCGGGGTGATGTGATTGGCGGCTCGGCTGACGAGTCTGACGAGTCGGGCGAGGACGTGTATCCGATTTTCGCCCAGTACAATGGCACAACTGTGATCGCGGTGATGACGTCGGGCACCACAATCGAGGCGACATCGTTCGAGAAGGGCACCGACGGGTTCTTGGTTGCGAAGTTCAGGGGCACGATCGATAAAGACGGCAACCCGTTCACGTACAACACCGAGCTGACGAACGATTGGCTCGCGGATGAGGGGGGCCTGATTGCGCCGCCCACGAGGGCACCAGCACCGAGACCAGCAGCTAAGGGTAAAAGTAAAGCCAAAGCTAAAGCTAAGGGTAAAAGTAAAGCAGCAGCCAAAGCAGGAGCGCGAAAGAAACCCGCTGCAAAGCGACCAGCTGCAGCGCATGAGATACCATTCGACGATGAAACGCCAGCTGAAGAAGAGGAAGATGCTGAGGAGGCATACGAGGAGGGGGACTGCGAATGTGACGGTGGAGATGCAGCAGCAGAGGAGGAGGAGGAGCCTGCAGCCGAGGATGCGCCCGTGGCCGAGGAAGGGCCCGCAGCCGAGGAGAAGCCCGAGGCGAAGCCAAAGGCAGCAGCGATGAAAGGCGTGAAGCGGCCAGCCGCGGCAGCAGCAGCAGCAGCAGCAGCAGCAGCACCACCACCTGAGCACGACGAGGACACGGGTAACTAAGGACTACCTACCATACCCTCGGGGCCCCCCATTCCTCGTATGTTTCGTCAGCATCCCCATCAGCATCGGCCTGCCTCGTCCTCATCATCCTCCTCATCCACGTCCTCATCATATCCCCACCCCATCCCCCATCACCGTCTTCACCCGCCGCCTCCATATCGCCCGCCGCCTCCTCATCATCACAGTCCCCAATTGTAGTGATATCCCTTAGCTCACTCGTCTTGCCATCCATCCCTGGTCACTCCACCCCGTCCCTCTCACCACCACCTGTCACGCCTCGATCCCTACCCGCTCTCCTTCCAATCGCCATCGCCATTCGCAAACTCGTCTCATTCGCCCTTGTCGTAATCCTCGTCGCCCGTGTCTCCCGATGGTGGGAGGAGGAGGAAGAGTGAGAGAGACACGATTGAATCGACAGGACCCGTGGGTGCTGACCGTGTCGCCTGGGCACGGCACGAGCGCGGTCGTGTTCTTGCGCGCTGTGGGCTGGCCCATCAAGAAGCAGATCTTGCAGGTGGGGGCCCACGACGAGTTCGAGGCGAACATCGAGATCTGCGAGCAGGTCGTCAAGAACACGCAGCATGACATCAAGAAGATGGCGGCGGCATTCGCCGACTTGGATGCGATCACAGCCGAGGAGCCACGCGGTTAGCACACCCGATGGGGAGAAGATGTGAACGAGTTGGAGATTGAGGGGTTGGATGGGGATGGATGATACGAGCGAGTAGTGGAGCGTTGGTGGGGAGGGGAATGATGATATCGAGGATGAGGAATATGAAGCTGATGATGCGGATGATGCGGATGGGGAGGACGATGGCGATGAATAGAAATACGATGCTTAGGACGAAGATGAGGAGAGAGATGACGAGCATATCATACATCTGCTCCCCATCGACCGATCGCCACATCATCTCTCCCGCCAACCTATCGTCCCACCACGCACTCCTCCGCGCCAACAATCTCAGCCCGCCCCATCCGCCTCCTCGTCCTCATCCCCCCTCATCCGCCTCTTCATCGTCCCCCATCCTCGGCCGCATCCGCATAATCGGTAGCATCCGTGTCACCCCCCTCAGCCTCCACATCGTGCCCACCCTAGGCCCCTCATCCCATTGCATTCCCCACCGCCCCCCATTCGAATCCGCCAACTGCCTCGTCAGGAGCTGGGCCCCGTGCGGGAGCTGGCCAGGACCGAGCGCGACAAGCTGCTGGCTGCCGCGGCAGACTAGTGTGCGCGCGTGCTCGGAGAAAAGCACGCTCGCCGTCGATGACTGTCTCCCCTTTTGTTTATCTCTTGTTTCGTTATCTGTGTCTTGTTTTCGTTTTCTTCTTTCAGTTCTTTTTTTTTGTTTCTGGTGTTTGATGTTTGTTTTTTCTTTTTTCTTATCTTCTGTCATCAGGGATGGAGGAGCGTAGCACGATACAGTCGGATACGTGGAGGTCGGGCATGTCTGGTGGGACTTATCTCGTCGCCACGGCTGAACTCCCCTCGAAGCCATGGTCATACCAAATATGGTTTCGATTGTCATTGGGGTCCTGGGCAAAGCTGCGGGTCGGAACCACCTCGAAATCGTCAAAGGTCATGCTTACGCGTCATCACCGTTTACAGTTGTCATGCGTTGTATCCCTCCCCATCCTCCTCGTCATATTCATCTTGCGTGTTATATCCACCACTGTCATCCTCGTCGCTATCTGGGTGTCGCCACAGATGCAGTGGATTGCGATCGAATTCCTGAGAGCCCTGGGACCAACTCGACGCCCTGGTCAGAACTGGTGGTGTGTTGGATCCACCTCGAACTGTCGACTCACTCGTCACCACCGTCATCGGTCGTCCTATCATTACATTGGCGGCCCCCCTCTTCTGCCAGGCGCGGCGGCGGCTCCAGTGCGCCTACGAGGTTCTCGAGCGTTCGCTTCTCGGCGGTGGCCCAGGTGGACGCACGGAAAACAGCTGCCCACCCCACTGGGTCGATCCGTCTCCGATCACCGATCTCGGCCGCGACCTCGGATCGACTGCCCGACGTCGGGTTCGGGGAATCGCCCTTCTCGGGGACCCGTCATTCTCTGGAAATCGACTCGCGAAACGACATAAATAATAAAAAAACAAATACAAAATATATATTATCAAAAATTAAAATATAAATCGAAAACATTTACAAATATATTTGTTATTTAAATCTATATAAAAAAAAATAAATCATATAAAACACTTTATAAAATACAAACAATTAAATAATATATATAGAATTAAAAGAGCAATTATATGAATATCAGCAATGAAAAAAACATAAATATAAAATACTCTATCAAACATAAAAATAAACAATATACATTAAACAAAATAATTAAACAAAGTATTACAATAATTTAAAATATTATATATAGTTCGAACCCGTCCTATTCGATTCTCGGTGCGCTGTTGGCCTATCCCTACAGGTGGCGCGCCGTACGGCACGCAAGCGCGAGTTCGACCTGATCGAGATCGTCAGCGGGTCGGCGGGCATCTTTCACGAGGCCGAGCGCTCGGGGCTGAACGCGTGGCACTACGACTGGGTCTACGACGACGACCACAACATCCTCACGGAGTACGGGTTCGACTTGCTGTGTGACATGATCGCTCGGGTGCACGCGGCACGAAACGATGACAGATGATGATGACGCGGGAGGTCGCAGAAAACCTGGCATATGATAGAAGAGTAGGTCATGTGACTTGTTATGTTTGTTATTCCGTAGTTGGGCCGTTCCAATGGCAGGATGAAGCTTAAGAATGCGATGAGGAGAAAAAACTACGACAGTGACGGAACGGATATTTGGAAGTTATGTGGGTGAGGATGGGAGTGGTGAGGAGGATGAGGAGGAGGAGGAGAGCGGAGATAAGGACCTCCGTATCCCCCCCAACACCCAGTGGAACGGGGGCTGGGGGCGAGCGCGCAACCCCAGCTCGCCGTTCCTTTGGGCGTTGGGCGGGCCGCAGCCGCTCAGGTGAAAGAAGGCGGCTTGGTGTGGATATCGCCTGAGTATTACACGTGGATCATGAAGGAGCGAGCTGCCAGATGGAAGTGTACGAAAACGGCCCTGGTTGATTCTATGATGGAGGAGGTGCAGCCGCACATTGAGGGCGACCAGATGGACAGGAGCATCGTTGCTGCAAATGGTGTGTGCAAGCGAGTTGCAATTATTATGAGGATATGCGCGGCACGAGGTGTTCACTGCATCGTCGAGGCCATCGATCACAGCATGTTCTTCGATCACCCCGTGATTCGGCACGCGCTCGTGGAGCTCGGCTATTTCTGCACCGTGTCTCACATGTGCAGGCTCACATCCTCACCCTTACCAGCATTCTCACCGTCCTTCTCCCCCATATTCTCCCCTCCTCCTCCGCACCATCCGTCTCCTCGTCCTCCTCGTCCTCCTCATCCTCCGTCTCTCCCCCCTCCCATATTCCGCCTCCTTCTCATCCTCATCCGCCTCCTCCTCTTCTTCCTCCACCTCCTCCATGTCAGCATCATCCTGGTCTGGCTCGTCCTCTTCGCATTCCTCCTCCTCCTCCTCCACCTTCTCTTACTCATCTGCCGACCCCTCATCCTTAGCCCACCTCGATCGCCTCACCATCCGGTTCTGGGACGACGACGCGGCGCGCGACTCGCACTCCCAGCAGTTGCGCATATGGGGATCGCCGTGGTGGGTCATGTCGTTCGGCCTCGCGTGCAACTGCGACGTTAAGCACATGCAGATGTTGGCACGCGGGGTCAAGGTAAGGGCTGATGTGGGATTCGGGGGCCCGCGCCCAAACCCCACATTAGCCGACGTCGGCATCCGTCTCATTCCCCTCCCCACTCCCCCCACCAATCCTCATCGTCCCCCTCCTCCCCATATCCTCCCATTCTCCCTCGGCACTCTCGATCGGCATCGCTGCCGCCTGGCCCTGGCTCGAGGACATGATAATTTAAGAAATCCGCGACGTTGATGGCCCGAACACGAGTGTCTGAACCTTATCGATCCTCTTCGATTCGTGACCTTCTCCTCCTCCTCCTCCTCCTCTTCCCTTCCTACACTCCTCCCCCATGATACTCTACGCCTTCCTGACATGCTTCTCATGGATCGAGCAGGGCGCCCATCCTCAAACGGCGCCCACGCTGTTTCTTCTTCGCTGGCTGTCCCCTCCTCCTCCTCGAAACCTTACTCCTAGCCTGCCACTCCTCCTCTCCACCCTCCGTCCTCATCCTCCTCGCTCATTCTCAGCTGCCTCATTCGCCTCCTCCCCCTCAGTTTCCTACCTATCAATGATGAAAAAATACCACAGCGCGTACCAGGAACCTAGTGAAGACAAAGAGAGGCGGCGTACCCTAGGAGATTCTGTGGATTCATCATCAAGGTGTTCCAGAGCTGCAGGCAGAAAACGCTCGAGGACATCGGCTGGGTTAGGAAGATTACCAAGGGGTGCTTCATCAAGAAGGCGGAGGTTCGGGCGACAGCGCTGCTCCTCCAAGGCAGGGCCCTGCCAGAGGGGATCCCCAAGACCGACGCCGTGGGCCCTCAGCGGGTGCTGCCGCCGCCAAGGGTCGACGAGCATGAACAGGAGGAATAACAGATTATGTGGATAAGGAGGTTGAGGAGTTGCACGGTCATGCTGGTAATTGCAATGATGGTGGTGATGATGATGCTGATGGTGCTGATGATGCGTTTGATGAAGAAGCTGATGATGATGCAGTGGAGGAGGAGGAGGAGAATGAGGAGGAGGATGCGGACGATGGTGGGTCGGCGGATGATACGGATGATGATGCTGATGATGATGATGATGATGATGCTGATGATGATGATGATGATGATGATGATGATGATGATGATGATGGTGATGATGCTGATGATGATGCTGATGATGATGATGGTGATGGTGGTGGTGGTGATGATGCTGGTGATGATGACGATGATGTTGATGCTGCTGATGCTGATGATGATATTGCTGCTGATGATGGTGTTACGATTGATCATGATGGTGAAACGGATGGGAAAGGGGAGGGGGAGGGGGAGGAGGGGGGATGAGGAGGAGGAGGATGAGGAGGAGGAGGAGGAATATGTGCGAACGAGGAGACGGACTGCGATGCCGATGCAAATGATGGGGGAGAACTCGGATGACGAGGAATGCGATGCTGACGCGATGCCGATTGATCCCCTCCACAAAGGTCGAGCCGTGGGCGGCGATGTCACGAACCAAACGGCCCCGCACCACACGCGTCGGCGTCACGCGGTTCCGCAACATCATGGATTGGGTTGAGATGACGCCCTTGGGGGAGCCATCCACGTCGGGCTCGGCGCCGACGCCTGGTGCATCGTCGTCATATGATGGGGCGGCGCCGACGCCTGGTGCATCGTCGTCATCGCAAGGGGCGGCGCCGACGCCTGGTGCACGAGCGGCGGCGGCGACTGCAGCGCCTGGCGCCATCGTCATCGATGACGCTGGGTCCTGGGTTTGCACCTTGTGCGGCGACGACGTCAGCGATGCCGACCGCTTGTGTCCGCGTTGCGTCGCCGACAAGTCTGGCCAGCCGCGCTGGACATGCCCGAGCTGCTCCACGGCGTACACCGTCGCCATCGAGTGTTGCCCCGACTGCTTTATCACTCAGGAGGGGCAGCGGGTGGACAGCTCGTCGAGAGCCCATGCTGTCACCCAGTCTGGAGGGCGACGGGTTCGACTCGGCGATGGTGACTACATCATCGGACACCGTGCGCCTGCAGTCGCACGCGTACCTGACGACGGCGGCCATGCTGCTGCTGCTGATGATGACGATGATAACGCGCCGCTTGTCGCATCTACGCCCAACTGGGATATGTGGGATCGGGCGTGGGCCGCAACCGCACCCGCGGCACCGCCGCCGACTGTGCCGCCACCGACAAGCCCAATGGCACCGAGGAGTCGGACACCACAACCGCGGCGCCGGCAGTTGGCGACGATCGTCGACGCATCACCACCGACGGCGCCACGCACACGTTCGAGGGCGACACCGCCGTCCTCACCGCCGCCTTCGCAGCGGACATCAGCACCATGGCCGCGGATCGCACCATCGACATCGCGGACCAGGTACACGGTTGCATCGTCAAGCCGTTCCTTCACCGTCGTGGGGACTGTTGCGATGATGATGTTGGTGAGTGACGGTGAGGGGATAGGGAGGATGAGGATGAGGAGGAGGAGGAGGATGAGGAGGATGATGAGGAGGAGGAGGAGGATATGCATGGAGACGGTGGGTATGATGAAGAGGATGGGGGGATTATGAGACTGGTGGTGGACACCGAGGATGGGATGTCCATTATGACGGTGATGATGCTGATGGTGATTCGGGCGTGGCGATGCAATGGCATGACGTTGAACGTCCGAAGGTTGCCGAACCCGTTCATCTACCTGAGGGCGCAGCCTTTGGAGGATGACGCGTCTCAAAGCGACTAGGGTTGCTTTCAGTTCGACCCAGTCGTGCCAGCTCTGCCCCGCGAACAACCCAAAATGACATAAAACAACACAAAATGACAGAAACTGACAGACACCTTACATATCACGAAAGCATATAAATATCAATGTTTTCGAGCCGCCGCAATGACAGATATTTGTGTCACCCCAAAGCAGGATGACACAAATTTGTGTCACATCAAACCATATATATATATGAAAAAACAACACGGCAGTTTCTGTCAGTTTCTGTCATTTTCTGTCGGTTGATTTCTGTCATTTTGTGTCACCCCACTGGAACCATATATATATATATATGAAAAAATGAAATGACAGAATCGTGACAGAAAATGCTACATCCAGTCTGAAAGCACGTGGCATGAAGCTGACTGGCGGTTGGCTGGGTCGGCGAGCAGGCTATAGCCTTGTAGAGTGACATTTTGTCACCGTGTGCCGCCCCACTGTGCGGCCCGTGCATGTGTGGGGCCAGTCCCGAGAGGCCAGCTTGTTTGTGCGTGCCCGCGCTCGGGCCCAGACGCACGATCACACTTATTTTAGGCTACGCTGGCGGCCGATGCCAGTCATAACTTTGACTTGTGTAACAGGCGACGCGCCGACTGATCAAAATGAGGCGTGTGTGTGTGTGCGACATGTGCAATCATGTCAACGCGTCTGGAGTCGTGGCCGATCCCCCCCCCCCTCCCCCACCACGCATGTGTTTACGCTGTTAATCGGGGTCCCACTCTAAACGCCACATCGTGCCAAACGTTGACAGATGCACGGGCCAATTTCTGGATATGGTGTGGGGGGCTAACTCTATATGCCCTAAGCTCGATACGCCTCCTCCCACCAAGCCTTCACTCACACTTGCCCCGTTCCGCTCCTCCCCATCATTCCCACTATCGTCCCCTGCCCGCCCCCCTCACCCCGTCCACGCCCAATCGGCGTCGCCGCCAACGCCCGTCCACCAACGCCGTGCCTTCAGCGCAGATTGCGTAGAGGGCCCCTCCCCCGCCCCTCGGCTGGTGAGCACTCGGCCGTCGCCAGCTCGAGCGCAGCCATGGGTGCGAAGCGCAGGGGCGAGCCGAAGGCGGAGGCGGCGATCGGCAAGCGCGAGCAGGCGAAGCTCGACAAGGAGAGGCAGCTCGCCGAGGAGCTGGCGAAGAAGCGGGAGGAGGAGCTCAGTTCGAAGATCGAGGTGCCGCCGCCGAAGTCGATCAGGGAGCTCTGGAACAAGTGCGAGAAGGACAAGGACAAGTTGCAGGAGCTGCTGACCAACATGAGGAGCTTCGACAAGAAGCCGCTCTTCAGCGCGATGGGGTACTTCTTGAAGACGAACTCTCCAGCGCGTCACGCTGACTACGTGGCGAACGCCAAGAGCGACACGGAGAAGGTGACGCGAGCATGCGAAGGACGCGGTGACAGAAAAATCTGTCATATGACAGGTTTTTCTGTCACCACCTCCTCCGCCTGCTCAAGTCCCTCCTCGACCGCCTCCCCCTCCTCACCATCCCCGTCATCACCGCCATCATCCGCATCGCCATCATCATCAGCATCACCATCAACAGTCTCACCATCATCAACATCAGCATCATCACCAGCAGCCGCACCACCCGCAGCATCATCAACAATACCATCAACAGCATCACTGGAATCACCAGCGTATGTTCCCCGTCCCATCGCCCGCCAATCTCATCTTCCTCACTTTCCTCCCCCGCCTCCCCTTCGTTCGCCTCATCTTCCTCGTCCGTCTCCTCCCCGCCCTGTTGATAAGTGCAGCAATTTTGGCACGAATGAACGTTACCATAGGGAGGACAGTATATACACTCGCTACTGAGATCCGTCAGACTGTACGCGTGCTCCTATTTTTCGAAGCTCACCAACTGTGGCTGGAAGTTGGCGCTGAATTCTACTATGTGGTGTTCGCTCCAGTGCACGTCCGCAGACGGATACCGTTGCCCAGAGACCGTTCGCGCTCGCGTTCGCCCCCATCGTACACGTTCATCGACAGCGACAGCGAAGACGCTTGAGGTGCCCACTGTGTATATATATATATATACATAAACACTCTCACTGAGCCCGTGGGAATATCACTTACTTGCCATATCGTCATCCCTCCCCCCATCATCTATCATCATCCGTCTCCATTCCACTATGTCTCGCACGTCCCATCGCCACAGGTTCCCCCACCTCCTCATCATCGTAATCATCAGTGTACCCTTCAGCCACCTCCTCTTCCCCTCCGCCTCCGCCCCCACTCCACATCCTCCTCCTCGTCCTCCTCCTCCTCCTCCTCCTCC